TGAGAGGAGAAAGTAAAAAAAAAAAAAAAAAATCTCCATGGATGAGGGATTTATCTGAGCATCCTTGGACACATGGACCTCTTGTGCCACTGACAATCATACTGGCTGGCCCTGGATTGTCCTGCCCAGCCACCCCTTGTGCACAAGCAGGATGGTATGCATTTGTCTAATGATAGCAGCCATGAGATTTACATTTCCACTGGGTATGTTATTTGCAGAGTTAGATGATGTTTGTTCACCTGTAATTCATAGATTTCCTCTCCACTACTTAGTTCTACTAGATGGCTTTATCAAGTTTAAATTTCTGTAAGTTGAGGCTATTTCTTTGCAACTGCATTTCCCTTTCTACCCAATTCTTCAGAGTTTTGAAAGTTCCAATTGTAAAGGTCAGCCATAGCCTGATTCTCTCAGGTTCCCTCCTGCTTTATAGCCAATGCCTTTTGTCCATTTGATAGTTGGAAGTTACTTACAGGAGGAGGTCTTGTACATACTCTGGTAAACCTCTCTTTTCATCCCCCAAACTACACATTCTAGGCCTTCAGCTTCAGCCATTTACACCTCCTATTGTTCTTCTAATGTTCTATCCACTTTTTTTTTCCAATCCAGTTGTTCCAATTAACCTGAGGATTTATTAGCACAGGTCCCCTTTGGGGACCCCTAAGGCTCTACACATTTGGTTACAAATTTATCATTGTAGGTGCATTAGCGAAGGATTGGTTCCCCCTTATACATTTAATCTCAGGAATACTCACAGGAATACTCGCAACTCGCAGGCTGTAGCCTGTGGGCTACAAAACTGTTAAGGGATGTTAGGAGCAGCCGCCTCCTCCAGGAGCCCAGCCCAGCACCTGGGGTCCCTGCTCAGGCTGGGGGATGCAGCTGCCACTTTCCCATTTGCAGGTTTGCGCCGTAGCGAAGCTGAGTACAAATCCCAGACACATAGACACAGGACACACACAGAGGACACTGACACGGCTGGTCACACAGACTGCTATGGACAAGGTGCTGCCCTCAACAGCACCCACGTGCAGTACCCACATAAGACGTAAACACAGGCAGCCAAGTCCCCTCCTCTTCTCTGTCTGGTAGATGTGTCAGTTCACTGGGGAAAGCACACATATGAACCTAGAGGTTCACAGGCACACGGATGTTTGCACATGCCCAAGTATGTTGCAGGCAGGTACCCCTGCCTGCATCCTGGCCCTCACACCTGCTTCAAGGGTCCTTTACTTGCTGGCTGGCACAGCTGGATGCACCAAACACAAGCACTCACATGCTCATCCCATGGGCACTCTATGTTCCCGTCGTACCCCAGTGTAGACTTGCAAGATGTCTCCCTTTCAGGCAAAAGGTGAAATTTTCACTCATTCAAGGAGACGAAGGAAAGGCAGAGGGGGCCTGTACCCCCTGGGTGTCAGCTCGCAGCTACTGCTGTGGGGCTGACCCTCCAACCCGATGATAGCTAGAGACTCAAAGGAAAAGCTGCAAGGCACACAAGGGCTCCCCCTGGTCACAATGTCTATCCTGAGCCCACTCATACTGGAGACAGGGAAGGGGAGGGGATAACTGGCAATCCAGGACCAAACTTCCACCCGTCACGCTTGCAGCTGAGTTAACGCCAGTCCCCGCTGGGGTGGCTGCATGTGGCTTCAGCCCTGTCCCGAACCCAGCTTGTTCATTCCACGTTCATACCATGTTAATAGCTGAAACCAACCCAGACTTTCCCAACCAACCTCTCCTAAATTTTACCAGATACCAGAAGTACCTTTACCAGACTTACCTCGACCAGACCAGAATTACAATTACTTTTCCCTCTTTTAGCTGGCAGTGGGGCGCTGGACTGACATTCATTAAAAGCTGGGATTCAGCAGCTCCTGCACACCACAGGAGCCTACAGATGACCCTCGGCTGAAGCCCCAGCAGGGATTTCAAAAGGTCCTGTACCTTTCCAAGCAGTGGCAGGGAGCAGCCCGTGGTCCTCCCGAGCGAAGCAGGACATGTGAATCCCAGTCACGGCACCAGATGCTGTTGTGGAAATAACCCAAACTGCAATTTAGATCAGGTCAGAGCAGAAGCGGTTTATTGCTACGGCTATAGGTGAGGACAGGGAGCAGCAGAGTGACAGCCTCTGCTGATGTGAACTCTGCCCAGCTGGGGCAGCTACAGAGTTCCTATAACTTTTACAACCCATTTTTCACCAAAACTGTGTCAGATAAGCAGCATTTGGTACATAACAACAGCAAATGAAATTCATCAGACAAGGAGGCTCTAGACAGTACATCATTCACAAATACTTCACTGCTTTGTCAATTAAATTGTTCTGACCAGCAAGATCCTTTGCTTCTTAACTACTGAGGCCTGTGAGACATTAACTATTTTGCTTTCACACAGTGAAGGTGACTAAGCAATTGCAGTGCTTTTGATCACTTGCCTGTGTAAATTTCATAGTGCTCTTACGAGCAAAAACGCTGACTTCTGCTATTTCAGAGCAACTCCAAAATAAGTAAAGCACAGGCAATGGTTAAATGCAAAGAGCTTCTTGGTGTGATTTTCAGCAGTCATTTACTCGTGAAGCGCACATAAACACATGCAGATTTAGTAAAAGTCCGGTAACTAATGATTTTTAATATGGAATCTGCTGGTGCTCACAGAAACACCAGCATGAGACCAGTGAAAATTGACCATTTGTCTCCTTTCATAACTTACTATGGTCCATGAGACCATCCGGAGCACCAGGACATCTCCAGTGCAAGAAGCAGAAGTGGACACAGATAAATTAAATGGAACAGCTACACAATACAAGTCTCTGTACATCTCAATCTCATCAATATTTTTAAGTTTACATTTTTTCTGTAAGTTTTTACATTTCAGATTTTGGGGAATAAATTTAGAAAGAACATGCTAGCAAACTGCAGTTTGAAATAGAAGTTGATATGTACTTTTTAGAAACAGTTTTCCTACACAGTTGTTTCAACTGGGGATCCTGTCCTGTATTTGCATAGATGATACGCAATTCAGTTTGCCTAAGGAGGCGTGCTGATCGTACATCAGTATGATTAGTTATGTATTAAGCAAGCAAGGATTTGAAGACATTTGCAGAGGATGAGATTCTAGCAGAATAAGTTGTTTTAAAATAATTTCATATTAAAGTTGCTAATTGCTGTTCCAGAGTGAAAAAATGACTGTATGTAATACACCTATATTAAAAATGCAGTGGCTAAAAATAGGCATGATAGGATATATAGGATCTGTAAACTTTTGTTATATATATATGCATATGTCTATAAAGCTACAATAAAAGAAAGTTGATACTCAGTTCTCCCTCACACTTTACTGTAAAGGTAAGTTTTTAAAAATCAAGTATTTGACTTTTAAAAAATTCAGTTTTCTTTCACTCCATGTGCAGTCCTGAAATTGTTTGTATTGAGATATTTGTATCGAGAAGCAACTAAGGAAGAACTGGTACACTGGAGAACTTCATTGGAAGGGATTGCTTACAGATGTGTAACTGCAAGTAATTTTCTCTCCTTTTATGAGAGAAATGTCATCCCCTAAAGATTAAAAAGCTTGTAGGTCATGGCAGTGAGACTTAAATAGTGGGCTCAACAAATGGCCAAAAACAAACGCATAGCTGTTACCTGAGGATATGGCTGGTCTCACTTTGAAATGCAATATGTATCATTTTGCTTCTATCAGCATTTTAAATATTGGGATTTTTTTTTTTCTAAGCACACTGAAATTCCTTTGTTGTTGGTAAATAGTGTCTTGATTCTCAGTCCCTAGGTTAATGTATCACAAAATGCTTTCTCTTTTGTGATGCATACTAGGATCAGTCAAGGTTTGTCTTTGCTCAATTAGCAAATAAAGTACAACTTTGGAAAGCATGTTTTGAATGAAGCAAAACGTTGCCCAGTGTCTTTTTTCTTTCCCTCCTGTAACTTGTGAACATTGAAGCATGTGGTTCTCCTTCCAGGTCATGTCTGCTACTGTGTTGTAACACTTGACTTGGTAACCTTTGTTGTTGTATTTAGTGTCAAGTTATGGTGCTCAAAAGAAATCAAAATGACCCTCGGACATCTGTACTCTTTAATAACTAGAAAGCTATACAAAAACTTGCTTTTATATTTGCTTTAAGCTTAGCTCTTAGATTAATACCTTTCTCTGTTCATATATCCGGTGTTTTTCTCTGTTCTTCCCCTAGCGATGGACTTACAAAGAAGACTTGGAACTGAAATCAGGAATAAGGGAGTTTGGAGTGGGTAACTGGGCTAAAATTTTGGTCCATGGTGACTTCAACAACCGAACTAGTGTCATGTTAAAAGACCGGTGGAGAACACTGTGCAGGATCGAACAAGGCTAATTTGGACTACAAGGAATCAACTCTTCTTGACCTTTCCCTAAATAAGGACCTAGTCTAGCTTTTCAGAATAATAACTTATTACAGTCTCACAGTGTCCAGCAGTGTTGCTGTCCTAAAACATGAAACAGAATAGTAATAGGCATAAAACATTCATGTGAGCTCACTTGCTCGGGTAACGATGACTTCAATGTAAAGCCTCGCCTTTTATCTACACACAATAGATGACCCGATTTCTGAAATCTGAAAATGCTTGCAGTGATTTAAGAAAGGCCAATTATGTACATAGGGGTATTAAATGCCTGGCAACATGTTTAGCTTGATAGAGGCTAATACAGAGTCAAGCATTCTGTTTTTTTAAAGGGTTGTATCTCTAGTTAGACTGAGCTTTTTATCATTTTACTTCCTGCCATATAACCAGATCATTCTAATCCGATTTGCTTCACTTTGAAATTTTGGTCAGACTTGTCATCTCTGTCAGTAAGTTATACCAAAAAATATGTATGTATTGGTATTGCTAATTTTACAAACGGATTCCTTTTTTTGCAGTTAAAAATGTGATATTCCATGTAATTTTATATTTATAAGTTGTAAAGGTGCTGCTTTTTTTTTTTTTGTGAAGAATTAAGCTTAAGTTCTAGGTGGAAGATTATTTTGAACTTATGTATATTGGCATAATAACACTTTTTATCTCTCAGAAGAGATGGAAAACATATGGAAAGTAACAGTATGATACTAGCTCTTAACTTCTCTTGATTATCTTGTGCCACCTACCTTGTCCTGAGAGGTGGCTGCTTCTAGACCAGCAGGAAAGGGAAAGCTCAAAAACGAATGGCCAAAGTGGGGCTCAGTAACGAGTCTATGCTGACACTGATAGCACAGCTCGTGAGACATGTCTCATCTATGTTCTCCACTGTCTCTGTCTGCAGTGATAGAAAGCAAAGATACGCTCTGATGGGGGTAACTAACTATCGAGGTGTCAGTTGGTCACTGTAAATGTCGTGCTCATGAAAGACTGTAACGGATGGATGATGATACTATGCTGTCTCTCTTGATTCAGATTGTGTGGAAAGGAGTTCCGCAACCTCAGAAAACCCACACTTTCTACTGTCATACTGCTGTGAATCTAGTGACTTGAACTAACGTATCACAGCATTCTTTTAAAAGTGAAATCTCTTCAATTCAGATGTTTTCTGTACCTTTGTCTTTGGATAAGGTTTTTATTTTACAAGAACCTTACAAGAAAAAGCATCTGTCCAAACTGGTCATAATAAAATAAACCTCTCTGAGATATTTTTCCTGGCTACAAATGAAGAGATACATTCTTGAAGGCTGAAATGTCCAGGAAGTATTAAGATAATCTCTCTGCTTTCTGTTTTGGAGGCCTGCTTCCATTAAGATAAAACAGTAAAGTACGGTTACAAAGGTTTGTTTCACACTCTTATTGTGGACAGCACCTCAGCCAGATCACCTTCCTCATTCTTGCAGGAAACCAGACGCTACAATTTTTTCTCACAGCTGCTAGAAACAGTGGCAAGCAGTAGTCTTTAGGTTCCACAGAGATGCTGCATGTCTTAACGGTAAATTTTCTCAACCTTGAGACATAATTTCTTTTTAGCGAACATTGTGAATTTCAGGATCTTGACAAAATACAGGCTTCATCCTTCAGCAAGGAATGCTAGAGCAGCTGTAAGCCAACAATTCAGAAAGTCATAGCAGGTATCTGACACGTGAGAAAGTGCAGTATGCAGCCTCTTTAATGCTGTAACAATAATTCAAGGTAAGTAATAGGTAACAAAATAAGGATTTGAGCTATCTGCGTAGCAGTCTTGCCAGTGCTCTAATATTGCAGGTTTCTGTTAATCATTGTACATGAGCAGTTCTAACTAGTAATAAGTAATTTTTTTAATGTTAACCAAGGCTTTACTCAGAAGTGTTGTTTAGGTTCGTCTGCCATAACGTTCACACTGTGTATTAGTGACATGAAGTTCTGAGCAAGACTACTTCCTTAACAACGCTGACTAGTCATACGTCTTTATGAAGGTGGCTGAACATGAAAACTGCAATGTAGAGGAAGAATAACTTATCCACTTGCAGTATAAACAACTGTCTAGATGATATTGAGAAGGAACAAAGGATCTAAACCGAAATCTGGTTTTAGCTCTCAGGCTTTCATTTTTATTCACCCTTGCTATTTAATGATGACAGTAACTATTCTCAGACTTAAGAACGTTTGGCTGGCTCACTACTGAGAAGGAGCAGTGTAAAGAACGAGAACTTCAGAAAAAGCAGCTACTACAGTTAGAACCATTAGCTCTTTAATTACAGAAGAGAAACATGGAAACGTGCTTCTAGTGTTCTAGATCAGTCTTAGCATTTTGTATAAAGGCAGAGAGAGTTTCCTGAAATGCTTCTTCCAAAGTTCTGACTCCTTTAAAGTTTGTTTATGCTCCCAAAAATGCAGCAGAAAGATGTAGGTTTCTTGGCATTGGTGTTAATTTTCTTGATCTTTTTGTTGTTGCTGTTTTAAAGGTCTTTTAAACTTTTATGTAAAAATAAAGCTATGCACAAGGGGACATGAACAGTTCTCCAGTTGCCGAATCTTCTTCCAGGTTCCTTGGCACTGAGAGTTGCCAACTGCTTCCCAGTGTAAGATTTTACCTCTGAAATGTGACAATAAATGAGGAATTAAAACACTGAAAATTGTATATTTCATGTTACTAGGTTGTGTTGTATAACATGTCAGAAGATTAGATTAGACTTTAATTAGCTCATCTAGCTCTTAAAATGCTTTCTGGAGCAGGCGCTATATTCCTAAGTATAGTATACGGGATGGTGGACCGAGTAGCTGGTTGTACAGGTATTAAGTAGTATGCATATTAATAAATGTACAGATCAAATAAAAATTTGTTCTGAATATTAAATGTCTACTTTCAAAATTACTGTTCTAGAAACCAGGTGTATAGGTTTGAGAGGAGTACTGATCCACTGCTGTTAAACCTGAAATCAGATTTGGACCATGGCAGGAAATACCGGTTTTAAGTAAAAGTGCCTGTAGCTGTAAAAAGACCTCTTGCACTACAGAAGTTGCATCATCCCTTCACAATAGTAAATAAATCATTCAAAACACTGAACTCTCATACTGAAATTATTTCCCAATTTTATCTAGGTTTTAAAAGCAATTTCTGTGAGAACTGAAAGGGTAAATCTTCTGAGCTCTACAAGTGATATGAGCCGTTTCATTTTTTAGGTATAATAAATGCAGCTTTTAATGAGACCTTGAGAAGTCTTAACTTCTGCACTGGGTTTTGCTACAGAAGAGACAGCAGAAAAATGGCTTTCTTTACCCATCTGCATTATGGCCATCTCCAGAACAACGATGCGTGTCAGTGTTCATAGCTGGAGGCTGGCAAGCTACGCACACGGTATGTCCTTCTCGTAGGTACCGCATCCATCGAGTGTACGGCCGATTCTCCAAAGCACAGTGGTGTGAAAGTGATTCTGTTTTAAATTCCACGCAGTAACTGCTCAGAAGGAAAAGCACTAAATTAGTTGTGAGAGATAAAGCACAAGCTAGGTATGCATTTTAAATGTACTTACATATCATACAGGTGGTATTTGTGAAGTGTAAGTTAGACAACATCATTGCTATCAAGTCTGTTTCTGACCCTAACCTAATTAACAGATTCTTAAAAACATTACACAAGCTATTTCTCATTCCATGCCCCAGTCCAGCGCTTTATGTATAATCTCACTTTCTGGTTGTGTTCTGTATTCTTAAATTATGTTGAAATGAAAACCCATATTTTTTCTTCTATGCTGCTAAAAGAGAAAATGGAAAAGAGGTTTTAAGAATACCAGATGGGTTCTTGTTCCGGGGAAAGTAGCATAGGGCAAACCATTATGAGCATTACAGACCCATTGACAGCCTAATTTAAACTTCGTAACTGTCACGACTGGTAACCAAACAAAATTTTTTACTCCTTGTGTCAATTAATTTTAAAGAAAAAGGTCTCTCGAGACCAATCACATTCAGCCCATTTTTGTTTGTTCAGAGCCCTACGTCTAATTTCTCAGACTTACACTTACGGATACATTCAGCTTTGGTTTAGCATTATTTACTGTTTCCTTTCAAAAGCAGCTATCCTCAGATTTGCCATGACCCCAATATCTAATTCAGGACAATTAGCAAGTAATGAAAAACAACATCTAGAACATGCAAATGAACTGCAGGACAGAAAAAGAGTACAAGCTATAGCTTATTTTTTAATTATTGCAAATTTAATTACATTTTTCTCTGTAGCCAGCTATTTTCTATTGAACAAGATGACCCACATGCATATGATAAATAGATTACCCAGCTGCTTCTTTGTCTGAAGGCCAGAGAGAAGATGCTGCTCGTCGTTTTCTTTCTTTACTGTATTCAGAGGTAGTTATGAAAGCAGGGACTGAGGAAGAAAACAGTAAGGCAGCGAGACACAGTTGAGTCATATTTCAATTACTGTAACAGTGGGTGAATGAATCAGGAGCTTGTGGATGGTGATGCTGACTGTATTGAAAAAGTGATAAAATGTTGGCAACATCAGACCTCAACCCCATTCCCTACAGCTAAGCTCTCTCCTTATTCAGAAGAAATATATCTAGAAATGCATGCCATCTAGTCTGTGAGGAAATAGGGTGTGCTGGAATCCCATAAGGAGCTCTGTTTCCTGTTTTGTACTGAATTTGTGCTCTAACTTTGCACCGAGATAATTTGATACTTGCTGAGGGGCTTAAATCAAGAAACTGAAGGAATGCATGCAGCTTAGTTGTTTACTCAATAGAAATTAAGAAAAGCCTGACTAGGAAAAAAATATAAGAATAGTATAAAGAGCAATATGACAGTAGAAAGTAACGTTTAAAATTGTATTTTTAACCAGCTAGCTGCAGATAGATGCTTTTTTTTCTGTTCGTTGATGTCAGTAAAATTTATGAAGGCCCTGATGGGCACAATGTACAGGTAAATCAAAGAGAGAATACCATGTTCATGGCCGCAGTCCTCTCCCTGGTAAGTCAGGTATTCCAGGCAGCCAGCCTTCTCCTCTAGAGCAGGACAAGGTTCCCCACCGTTTTTAGGTTCCTGTTGTACATAGCGCCTACGTATCCGCAGATCGGGTTGACATCGTTCTGCACAGCCACTCCAATGACTCCACTCCCCCACGACGCAGGGAAGAGCTGCAAAGCGGTATTAAAACACTACTAGTAGTCAAGACCTCTGTTTTATCCTAATTGCTCCCAAAAGCTTGAGTAATAAGACTGTGTCTGTTTTTTTCTTTCTTACATACTTTTATTTACAGGGTTTTAAATGCTCTTCTAGGAGTTTGCATCTTCAAATTTAACATTCAAACCTGCCTGCAGTGCTTGGCTCCCTAGTCCATCTCTTGTCCAGAAGGAAACAGCTCCTCACGCAAACCTTTCACTACAGCTGTGGGGTTCTACTGTACCCTCTTCTGAAGCATACAGCATTAGCCCCGGAGGAGACCAGCTCGTGGATTATCTAGACCAGTGAGTGGTCTGACCTACCTTGGCAGTTCCTACACCACCAGATTTTGTTCAAAGGCTGGAATATGAAGTAGCAGAATTCAGGAAGCCTTTCAGCCCTCTTGATTCCCCTCAGACTGATTTCTAACCCCTTTTCCTCAACACTGAAATAAGTTCCACTGCCACAGCTTTGTTGCGCTGTTTTAACACAGGGTGTCCTGCTCTACAGTCCTTGCTGCAAAGGCAATTTTTGGTGATGATTTTGGTTTTGTTTAGTCTCAGGACAATGCAGGGACGTGTAGAGTTGTTTCTGTGCCTGTATAGCTACTGATATAGATAGAGCTTTACAACAATGCAGCTATTTAAACTTACTAAATAAAATGTGTAAAAATGTGATTTTAAGGCCCTCTTTTGCTCATTCCCAACTACAGAATATTTGAATTTGAGTTCTCATGGATCACAAACTTCCTCTGAACTTGACCAAAACATTATGGGGAAAGTGGCATTATTTTGAAAGTAAACTTTCAATCATAAGAAACTGCATTTCCCTCAGGCAGAACATCAATAGTACATACACTTGTACCTTTGGTCTCTCCTAACCCAGCCTAATACTCAGAGGTACAAAGAACTTCTCTCTTCATCTGTTAAATTCACATATATTAGGTGAGCTCACTGAAGGTCTCAGATGAAGAAAGAAAGAAAAATGCTTTGTTTTGTATTCTGTGGTATTTTTCTGGCAACTGTTGAAACCTTTAGCCCAGTTTATGGCCTTTGACAACTTTTTGATTAAATAACATGCAGGTTCTTTAGAAAAAAACTAAGTCGTCATACTATATAGAGAATGAGCCCTTATTTCATGTTTGTCACTTTTTGTAACCGTTCCAGGAGAGATGTAAATGATAGACTAAGCATCTCTTAGTTTCAGTATTGTCTTGAAACTCAGAAATGCTCAGTTCTATCATACCTGTTATCTACTAACCATTTCCTTCCTTATTTTATTCTCTGCAGTGCATCTAATAATGATTACATGCTCCATGTAGTTCTCATTTATGTTAAGCATGATACACATTTTTCCGATCTATAGTTCTCCCTTCTCTTGCATCTCTCATTTATATTCTGGCAAAACAGTAGCCCTGTGTCAACCTTGCTAATGTAAGCACGGACAATATGCCAGATATCTTCCAGATGGATACAAATCTACTCTGGAAGAAAAGGTTTTGCAGCCTGGTTCCCAGAATACAGAAAGAGGTGATGGACACATTATTCCGGAGTAAGAAGCTACCTAACACAGAAGTCTTCACGTTATTTGTCCATTAACACAGTACACAACAGTAAAAAACACACAGCCATTTCACGTTTCCATGAAACAGAACTTTCCTTAGCCTCATCTCCAGGAACACCAAGCCCCAGGTTTTGAAAACTGTGTGGCCTAACAATTTCACTTTTAGCAGGCAAAATGCATACTACAGCTCTTCAAATCTGTACTGAGGGCTGAGCCCTGGCGGGGCTGGATGAGGATGATGTCTGGGTGCTTACTGATGGAGCAAACACAACCCCTCCAACAAGGAACTTCAAGTCTACACAGCCTCGGCAGGCAGAGCAGCAAAAGAACAGGTACGAAAATTGTCTCGCACGTGGGAATCCATCAAGATGAAGAATCCCCTGAGGATAAGCAGTCACTTCCTTTTTTTTTACATTTAATCTGACCAGTGGTCCATTCCCAGTAGCCTCTTTTCCTGGAGGCCACCTGGTAGGTGCTCCAGGTTGGGCAGCTGCATTCCTCCGGGCCGCTTCTGCTCTCGTCAGTGTGTGTGTCTCCAGAGGGAATGTCCTCTGCCTGGACACCAGTGGCAGTACCAGCTTTCCCGTGCGTGCACGGTATGCTGCGGGGCGAGCGGGGAACGGCTGCGTCTGCGGCTTTCCTTAACCGTGAAATGAGACAAGCAGTCAAAACGCTGCAGCACTGTGTACTAGTCCATGCTGCTTTCCCTAATATCATTAGCTGCTTTTTGTCCTCTGATAGGCTTGCTTTTTCAATAGAGTTATAATTAATGTCATGTAATTGAAATACTAGCACATAGTGTCTTATAAAAACTTAAAGGTACCTATGTTAATATTAGAGTTTCTTATTGATATGGAAATTGCCCGGTTCTTCAAAGACTTGTTTTCATTGCACATTCCAAATAGGCTTAAAATTATTTTCCATGTAGTGTGAATCACATTTTACTTTGCTTTTCCACTCCTTTATAAGGGCAGGTCTTCAACATGATACTTAGAGAATGGTACAAAATACATGTTATAATCAATGGTTGGGCTATCTTAAATTGGTTCTGAATAGCTTTGGGTCATGCCTCTCATTAGTTAAATGAAGCCTTTTCCTTTCCCACGTATGCTGTTTCCCATTAGCTTGTAATGGAACATATCGCATCTTTTAAATCTTTTTTTTTCCCTGTATTACAATTCTGATTACAATTTAAATCCCCAAGAGGCTTTACAGCTTAACCACTAGTTACGTACTTGTATCAGCGTTGCAGGAAAGTGATGGGACCAAACTAGTCTTTCAGGAAAATATTTTATGCCCTCTGGGATTCTGCCAGTACAAGACATTGGGCAGAAAGAGTAAAATGTGATAACCTCTTTGGTGTTTGTGACTCTTTTCATAAGACACAGAAATTGCTGGGTTTGCTCTGTCACTACATCTCTAATTTCTTGGAGCACTACAGACATCATAAGGCAGATAAAACCCCTGACAGAGGCTACCCGGCAGATGTCCTTACCGCACTATTACAATTCCCCTTCTTTCCTCTCACTGTGCACCTGTTCTGACCAAACCTGCCCACTTCTGAGTGGTCTGACAGCGCCAGGCGTACGCGTGGCCGAGGATGCTGCATCCCACGCCCTAAGGAACTCCGCTGAAACAGAACCACAGAGCAGCCCTGGGCACTGGGCCACCAGCTGTCCATCCTGCTTAGCCATTAGCATTCTCTGGCATTTTCTCCTACTTACTAATAAACACCTTCCCAGACAGCTCCTGGGTATGATTTGTAGAACGGCACTGGAAAATAACATGGAAAATGCATATGGCTCCCTTCGCCACACGCAGATACCTGACGCTGCACCACCAGGCACTGCCCTCAGACACATCTAGGTACCCCAGGGCACACGAGACAGTCTCTGTGGCTGTGAAGGCACCACTCTAACACATTGCAGCACAACCCTCAGACATTTGTTTCAAGCATTTTGAACTAGAAAAAAATCAAACCAGTGATAGTAAAAATGTCTTAGACCCCACCATGGGCTAGCCAGGACAAGTGCTAAGTGTAGTATGGACCTCACAGTCTTTGCCACCTGGTCGCAGAGCCAGAGAACAGTCCTTAGCCCCACTTTATTTAATAGTAGAAGCATAGACTTCAATGCCTGATCATCCATCTTAGCTCTACCTAGAGTACCCAAAGGACAGTAAGTGTCATCTAGCCCGATTTCCTTATCTGTTGACTCTCTTCCAAGTTGGCTGTATGAACGACCTGCAGAAGTAAGAATTTCCACGTAATTTTAATCCCATATTAGCACCTTGATATGCAGATAACATCAGGTCTAACATCACATTTTCCACGCAGAAAACTCCCAAAGGGACTGAGTAGCTGCATAACAAATAAAGCGATGACTTCACGTCTTACTGGAGTTAAACCAAGCTGACAGTTAAATATGGATCGTCTGCAGCAATACATGGCAATTTTATGATCATCAAGATTTCGAACAAGAAGTTATGAATTGCCTTAGTCATGTGGAATAATAAGAATATTGGGTTGCTAGAATGGAATTTAGCCAGTGGGATAATAATGTCGCTCTTGCAGTCAGTACCCAGCAACTATTAAGGGACAGTACACCAGTTTTGTGCCTCATTGGAAAAATGTCAAATTCCTCAGTATGACAGAGAATGGGTCCCAGAGCTGACACAAAAAAGGAATGGCACCATCTCCTGAAATACAAAAAGAAGTATCAGGGACCCGTAGCTACATCTTTACGGTCTCTCTCGATGTTACTATTGGTCCAGCTTAGTTAGCACAATGATGGTAGATGATGCTTCATTGAAACAATGAGAAGGATGCAAGTCAAAGGAACCTGAAGGACAGGATTTGTGCTCAGGTACCTACCAAAATGTGGAAGCTAATGAGACACTTGGAAGTTCAAAAATACACAGAAAAATTACATTGCTATCCTATGAAACACAGCTTGAGTGGTCAGGACTTCCCCCCCCATTTACAGCACTGTGAATCATAGATATTTTTTTTCTGAGTCACACTCTATTTAATTTCTTCCCATCTCTGGAAAAAAGAGGATTACAGTATCTTCACTGAATCACTGCACAACATATGTTGTAATGTATAAGGATCTGCGGATTTTCTCAGAGTAACCACTTCCATTCAAATGACAAGGTCATTCCTTTTTCAGGCTTTCTCATTGTACAGTAGTTCCTATTTTAAATGCTCTCTGTGTACAAAAATATTCTTTCTTCATTGTTAGAACTATAAGGA